CGGGCAGCGGCCAGTCGGCCAGGGTGACCTCCCTCCTGCTGTGGGGCTGCCGGAGCCGGGCCGGGCCGGGCCGCTCCGCGGGGGGCGTCTGGGTGCCTCGCTCTCCCTCTGCCTCTGTCGGGACGCGGGAGGAGCTGGGACGCGCTGGAGCTGCCTGCGGGGTAGCTGTGGAAGTTGGGGGAGCCTAATTTTCAAAGGCAGGAGAAAGAGAGAGAAAAATCTCGTTGAGCTGCTTTAGAATCCGTGTGCACAGTTCTCTACCGACTTAAAATCAGCAGTTAAAGCTTGTATTTCCATACGCTGCTATTTTCCCTGTTTTGCCCTGGGGCTGACTAATGTAACCAGAAGCTTCTGAAAGCGGCTGCGTTTTTATGGAGAACAGAAGTTTCCTTTTATTCTGCTGCTTTACCTAGAGAGTCTGTTTTCCCTGTGACTCTTTACTGTGGGTTTTGTTTCACCTTGCTCCCATGCTGTATTTCAAGAGTATTATTTTTTGATGGTACTGAAGCTATGCAGCCAAGGAGAGTCGCAAGCAGTACTTAAAATCCTAGTGCCAATGCGAAATGCAGGACTATTTTCAGGCAATTTAGAAGTAATTGAATTGGAAGAGCTGATGGAATTACCGCATCAGCATAGTTTATATAAACAACTAAGAATACCAGGGAGCTCGGTGGCATAGTGGTAAAGCTGTCTGCAGCCAGTGCTGACGCCTGCCCCAGAACTATACACATGAAGAGCTTTCATCTGGCAGACCTTGCCTCCCAATGGAAGTGAAGAAAAAACGTGAAGAGTACTGTACTTCAGTGAAAATTATCCTGCCAGGATGAAAATTCGTGCAGATTTAAAAATGAATTTTTACTGTGTAACTTAATCTGTGAACTATACAATAATCTGAAGTAATTGAAAGTATTTTAGCTATGATTATTCTTCATCTTATGATCAAAAATACTTATTCATAAACATGAGTTACCTACTTCACTGACCTTCAGTGTATATTAGCTTTCCTTTTACAGTGAGAAGTATGTAGCTGTATGTAAGTAAGGACAGACGTCCTTACAAGACAATAGCTGATCTGTGACTATGATACACCATTGACCAGTGCCTTATGATCCTATCAGAAGATGCTTGTTCTGTTAGGTGTCATGCCATACGAACCTAGCACGAGATCATACTTTTAATGAGTGTCAGGTGATGTCACTCAGGTAGTACTTGTTCCTTGCAGTTGCGAAGCTGGAAATGCACGTGACTGGGCCTCTGTCTCTCTTGATCAGTGTCTAATCCTAAATCATACCAACCAATCTCGTTTGGCTGCTGGCAATGCAAGTTGTGTAAAAAGCAAGGCTGACAGAGCTGATGTCATCAAATGACGACATATGCTTTTTATATAGCAAATACAGTTTTCTTACGCTGAATAGGATTTTTGTCCAAAGACACATTCCTTCAAACTGAATATACTAATCCAGCTTTTTCATAAATGAGCTGCTTCAAGGTATTTTTGTATTTGTCCGCCAGCTAGTCTAAAAAGATCTCTGTTGCGAGGTAGTGTCAGGGGACTTGGTAGTGAATAAAATACTGTCTGCTGTTAGGCTAGACTAGCTTTCATTTAAAAAAAAAAAAAAAAAATCCAGCAACTATATCTGTGGAGGCTGCATCCTTTTGTAAGTGACTTTATTGATAAAAGGGATTCTGTAATTGATTGAAAAGTACTTTTCTGACTAGGAATAAATGTAAAAATATTAATTTCAAATACTATTGGCCATGAATTTTAATTTACTCTCTGGTGGTGAAATAATAAGGTTAAAAAGAACAACCCAAAGCACTGAAAAGAACCCACTAAGTACTTATTTTTTCTTCATTCTGGATAGACTCTTTAATGGAGACTGTCTAAAGGGAATTGTTAATCTCTAAAGCAAAACAACTTTTTATACAGAACAGACACTGAATTGTACTTGGAGTTGATGCGTAAAACTCAGCACGATGACCGTCAGAACACAAAACAGAATGCCACTTGTTCCCTGAGGAGATGTTCTAACAAACTCCAGAAAGAACAGCTTTAATGTCATCACCACTAACTTACATTGGCTTCTCTGCACCCTTAAAGATCTCTCCTTTCACTACCAGTACTGCTCAGATTTCAGGTAATCTGTTTGCTTAGAGCAATGATTGACCTGTTTCCATTGGGCTGGCTAATCATTAGTTGACTTAAAATTGACGCGCCTCTTTGCTCTGGTGGCTGGTGTATTTTTGTTATGGCCTGGTTGCGTTTTCCTTGGTAGATGTTGTCTTCGTTTGCCAAGACTGTTTGAAGATCTCACCTATGTTCTCCAGTTCTTCTCCATTTGTATTGAAGATGCACCTTTTGGTTGGAGATCCTGCTTTATTTTTTCCTCCACTTTAATGTGTGCATTGACAGATTTTAGAGAATGGCCTCTCAAGCCATAGGCTTGATATTAGTGGCCAATGGCCTGAGACCGGGAGAGAATGGAGAGGTTTGACAGAAATGATTGTGCAGACATTTTGGCTTGGACCTGCAGCACTTCCTGTACACCATATCCTGGAGCTCTCTTGAGTAGAAAAATACATTCTTGTCAAATAAGACTTTGAGGTGGAGTATTTCCACTGGAAATTAAAGCCAGACCACAACTCATTTTTCACGCTGAAATTAAATGACGTTTTGAGGAGGATTTATGTGGGGGAGAGAAGCTTAGTCTGTTACGGTGTTTGAATTCATCTTGCCCAGACTTTCCTGACTTATTCAGGCTTAGCTGAGATGCTAATAATGACTCCAAACACTGTGTGCTTTGACCATCTGTAATGTGCCTCTTCTGGAATCATTCACGTAACCAGCCTCGAGTCCCTCGTTGTATTGCTACACTGGATTTTGTGTGCTGCTGCACGTGACAGACTTCTGGAGTCACAGGCATTAGCTATCACACTACTGCAAGACTCTCCTTTCTCCTTTTTTTTTTTTCTTTCTTTTGTACAGATCAAATAGGTCTGTCTTCATTTATAGTTCAGATGAATGTCTGTTTGGTGCTGTGAGCACTGCTGTTGTCCAGAAATATTCTTTAAAAAGATAATAACAAGACCTACATGTTAAGGGAGAGGGCTTAAAAAACCCTTTTTTGCTTAGAACTAGACCAGTGCTTGATGCCTCTGCGCAGGTTGAGATTCTTTCTAATTGTGATTCTGGGCACTTTGCAGAGTTCAGATAGTTAGGTGACTTGAAATCCTTGCCATCTGGCAGATTGAGGAGCACCGTTAGGCCGAAGGCAACGCACTCATGAGGCTCAGTTGTTTTCCCCTCCAAGTGGACAGTGGTAGGAAGATGCTGGGATTTATTCCAGGATGTTGTCATATGCCCTGTTTTCAGCAGTCTGTTCCTCCGTTTCTCCCTTTGCAGTTGGCACCTGGCAAGACTTATGGTCTCTTCACATTGAGTGGCACTGTGCTGCTTATTGTCCCCCCTCAGAAGGGCATTTCTTTCTTCATCCATAAAGATTATCCAGTTGAAACTTACATTTAACCAGACAGGCTGGTGTTTTCAAGAGGCAGCGAGGAGACTCCCTCCAAGGTGGAGGCAGAGAAACAGAGCTGCTTAGAGGTTTGTAAGTGGGGAAACTGCTGAAGTTTCCTTTGTTCAGCCAGCTGCAGTATCCCTCTCTTGGTGCTCTCTGATATTCCCATGTTTGGAAGATATTCCACATGTAACTTGAAACTTGCCCTATGGCTAGGGCAGATGCTTCTGTCCCCTCGGCTGGTAGTAGCTCTGTTAACAACTGATTCCTTACTTATGTAAAATTTTGGTAATGCCAAGATTATTAGTGGTTTTTAAATGATTTTTGTCTTGATTTTTATATACGCTTATATAAAAATAGTTGAGAGTACTGCCACATTTCACCACATATGTATGCTGCTGGCACCAGGAATGAATGAGGCATTCAAAAAGCTCTCAATAATGGGATGCATGAAGCTGCAGTAGAATAAACTATTGGGATGGAAGCTCCAGAACTCTTCTTGTAGAACAGTTGTACAACTTTTTTTTTTTTAGCGGGTATTTTTGGGGGGAGGGAGGTGTTAATATCGCCCTCTGCTGCCACAAAAAGAGGGCTGGTCTTGGAAAATCCTTTGACTGAGTAGCGTTAATGCCTGCTTTTTGTAGATTCTGGGCTGCCTAGTAAATAGCAGCTGGACTTCTGAATGTGTGGCAATGTTTTATGACTTCTGGAACTAGATTATCTCTGACACAGGTTATTTACTGTGCTTTTAAGTGAAATGGAGTTTATGTAAAATTAGCAGCACTTCACAAGTGGGGGATGCCAGCTTAGATTTGGTTTGCATAGTTCTGCTTTTTTATTTGCTGTTGCTGGGAAAGCGGGGGAGGGACGGGACGGGACAACAAGTTCCAAAAGGCAAACTCCGTAGCCTGCAGGGTTAGAGCAAATCCAGTTGCTTTGATTGGGTTTGTTCATGTGCAACCATTGTTCAATTGAAAGGTTGTGTCAGGAGAGGTTGTGTCTGTGAGTTTTCATAGTTGAAGTCCTCAGTCCTGCTCTGCATCCTGAGAAGGTCTAAAATCTTCTGAAGCCTGTTTGCAGTCTACGCATCTCAGCTGCATCTCCTTCTGGGTTGTCTTAGAACAACTCTCTTTTCAGCTTCCCTTCCTCCAGGAGCAGCCATTTCTTGGGTGGAAATTATACGTGGTAAACTCCACTCCTCTGTTACAGAGCAGAGGCTTTCTCTCATATCAGTCCTGCTTGCGTTACTGACTCTTCTTGTGTCCTGTTTTTTGAGTAGCTAATTTTTCATTCCTTGGCCTTTGTTTTTGGGACTGTCCGTTTTGCCAGCTGTAACTCGAGCACTCACTCTGACAGAGATTTAATCCCTAATAAGGGACTTAGTCTGAAGAAACAGCACAGTTTGGGGGCTAGGCTTTATCAGGGAAGAAGCTTTTGTGTATTTAGTTCACAGTGATTTTTAAATGGAAAACATTCTAAGTTATGCTTGTTTTGGCTCGGAAGGATTGTGCTTTGACTTCATTTTTACGAAGCCCCAGAGCCTGGCAGAGCCCAAGACTCCAGGAGAGATGGATACTGGTCAACGGCACTCCAGGAGAGATGGATACTGGTCAACGTCTGGAGGCGTCCCATGTAATGTCGTTACCTCACTTGAGTTCCTAGTGTGAGACACCAAGCCCACCAAGGCTCTTCTCCAGGCAGGGAGAAATGGATTTGTTCCCTCCTTATTTTCCCACTGACCAAAGAGGGGTCCTAGGGTGACTAGGCTGTCATACTGTTCCTAAGCCTCAGTTGAGTCCTTGGTTATGTCAGTTGAATTTGGTTTCTAATTCTCTGTTTTGCAGACCCACACTGCATGGCCCTAGGTGTTACAGAAAGCTAAATGCTGTTGAATCCTTCTCTCAACCTGAAAAATACTACTTTAGAGGAAATAATAATTTTTAACTGGAGGATTGTGTTAAGCTGGATGCTGACCCAGTGCTGAAAATGCCTTTCAGCAATAGTTTTTCACTGAAGTCATTATGGCTCAGTAAGTGGTTTCACATAGTCGTTGGTGTAGTTTTACAGAGCTACCTTAAGTCTCAGTGTGTCTTCTGAAATGAAACTGGAATTCTTGATTTGGCTGAGGCTGCATTTGGTCTGGTCATCCCTGGCAGAAACCATTACCAGCTGTCTCCTTAACATACTAGTGCAACAGCTGGTTAACTCATTCTGTATGTAACACTTAGTTGTGTTAAAGAAATACAGTGCTCTATTAAATTTTTATGCAAGTTCTGTCCTTTCAAATTTTCCTTTAAATATTTGCCAATTCACTATTGAACACCAGAGCCCATCACATCCTGTGCTGAAAGGGTTAATCGTGTACAGGATGCATCCTTCAGTTGGAGAGGTTGCTTTAAAAAAATCAAGGTGAAGAATCTTATTCGATTTTTCCAAACGTTTGACAAGACGATGGCCTTAAACCAGCCCCTGGCATGCACAGTGTTCAGGTGGATTTTTATTTCACGTTCTACTTGTGAACAGGCCACAGGGAAAATGTACTGCAGTGAACCCAATAACTAGCTTGTAAGTGGAGTTTTCCTTGTAGGTTTATATAAATACCAGCCAGAAACTGCTTATTATTCTGCCTTGAGAGAGATTGGTGCATCTTAATTCCTGCTGTTTCCTGCTGTTTGATATGTTTTCCATTATTCCCAAAAGCAGCTACGTTTGGCACCGGCTTGTAATTTAACAATATTCTTGATTACAGATGGCCACTGCATGATATACCCTTTACAGCGTGAATGAAGGTGCACATTAAGGGTAATGTCTGGTAACCCAGCACTCATGAACGTGTATTTTCTTTCCCTTATTTTCCAGTGCATGCACACAAGTACCATTGTACTAATGGAGCAAGAAGTGCTAGTTTCATTCTTCGTTTTAGCAGTCTCTTGCCTCCCAGTATCAGGAGGGTCTAAATGCTGTTGGGGTGAGGTGGTTTTGTCTGCTGCGATTAGGTCAAATATGTGTGCAATTTGCTCTCCTTCTGCTAGAGGAATCTGCCAGATATTTTTATCCTTGGGAAGCCACGTGTTCAGTTTTGCTTTGTTTAAGCACAAGTATGTCAGAAATAGCTATATCTCCTGTTTAGGAGGATGTATTTTGCTGTGTTCTAATGGATAGTTTTTACCCTTTCTCAGTGCAGGTAAGCAGTCATAATCCTTTTTACTAGCTGTAACAGCCTGTTACAACAAGGTGATGCTTGCTGTGTATGAAGAGGTTGTAGGGAAGCTGGCAATTGATGTAATTTTAGGTAGCTGAAAGCCCATACTCAAATGGGGGGTGTAGAAGTCTATTGTGAATCCCCTGTCAGCAGGGAGCCTGCTTCAGGGTAAAGCAAACATGTCTGTCTTTGTTGCTAAAACCTATTTTGGTTAAGAGCTTTCCTTTCTTGCTTGCCTGCTATTTCAGTAAGAGGGAGTGAACCCTTCTGTAACGAATTCAGAGTGCTCCGCTACCTTTCTCATCTTCACTTCCAGCAATGTCTCCTTGCCGTCCTCATAGGCTGGGTTTAACATGGCAGACTAAATAGCAAGCTGCATAGGGGGCAAAGAGGTGGTTATTGTGGAGAGAAAGCAAAGGTGTTTGAAGGTGCTCGCTCTCAAATGTCCAATGCAACTTGCCCTCTCAATGAATGAGCTGTTAGTCCTATTTTTTATAAAAACTCCTTGAGTCTCTGTAGTTCGTTCATTCATTCATCCATCCAATGTGGTCACTGAGGTGTGACGTTTACAGTATCTCTAGAGCAGCTGCTTGGGTATGTGTGAGGAACCATTTTAGGAGAACTGAACTGATCACAAGATCCTGTTTTCTCAAAATGTTCTTGGTTCCTCCAAGCTACGAAAACTTAACAAAAGATAAGTTGCTTCATTTTAGGATGACTGTTTTTATATAAAAAGCATAACTAGCTGATGTGAAATGAATCTGGGTTTGTAAAAGCTGCTTGTTGTTAAGCAGAGGCTGAGTGACCTTGAGAGGCTGCCCTGACTTCAGTCATTTTTCCTTCATGCTCTTATAACTGGGTTGATGGAAAGTCTGTCCTTAAACTCTGTAGTTTTAATGCTGTGTTTCCTGTTAACAGGGTCACCTTGTCCTCCACGGACTGTTACATCGTGCATGAGATCTACAACGGAGAGAATGCTCAGGACCAGTTTGAGTATGAGCTGGAGCAGGCCCTGGAAGCACAGTACAAATACATAGTGATAGAGCCCACTCGCATTGGTGATGAGACGGCCCGCTGGATCACTGTCGGGAACTGCCTGCACAAGACGGCTGTGTTAGCGGGCACCACCTGTCTCTTCACCCCTTTGGCACTTCCAGTAGATTATTCCCACTACATCTCGCTGCCCGCTGGTGTGCTGAGCATGGCTTGCTGCACCCTTTATGGTATCTCCTGGCAATTTGATCCTTGCTGCAAGTACCAAGTAGAGTATGATGCCTATAAACTTTCCCGCCTGCCCCTGCATACGCTCACCTCCTCCACTCCAGTGGTGCTGGTGAGGAAGGACGACCTGCACAGAAAGAGACTGCATAACACGATAGCACTCGCTGCCCTGGTGTACTGTGTAAAGAAGATCTATGAACTCTACGCTGTATGACTTCAGCAGGGAAGAGAGAAACCCACAAAGACAAGTGTATTAAGACTCCCACAGTAACATTTTGTTTTTCCTCTTTGAGAAGCAGTGGAGACTGGGAAGGAGTTGGTTTAATAGAGCTGTTATTTTTAAAATAACACATCACAGGTGCACCAAGGTTTTTCAGTTCTTCATTACACTTAAAATGTGGATGTGCGATGACTTGAGAGAGCTGTATGTTAGGCCACGGGAGTCTAATCCAGCAGCGGGATGTCGGCGAAAGAAAGCAAGCTATATAAAGAAAGGGTGGGAGGGGTGAGAGCTTTTTTCTTTTTTTGGGAAACATTTAAGTATATTGTTTAATTGTATTACACAGAACCAGCCAGAAGTTATCATTGACCATTAAAGGATGAGAATTTCAAATACTTTTGCATTTTCTTTACTGTTAACGTAGTTCCTTTTTATAGTGTGTTTCCAAGGGACAGAGGTGCCGGTCTCCGCTATGAGAACCTGCGTGGTGATAGTTATGTACTTGTGCCTACACACAGACCTGATGCTCCTCTTGGGCACGGCTGCCAAGTGCAGCAGACATGTTACTTCGCAGCTATCTGTTGAAGGGATGGCTGCAGAGCGGTGCTTTTCCTCTTGCTTGACTAGCTGTGTTTTTGGAACAGGAATACTAGTTACCCTAGTGTTTGTGTATCTTTTAGTAACTTCTTAAGCATTGATCCTTGGGGCTAACGGTGTCCAAATCCTGTGCTGTCCTGCCACCTCCAACTGTTACTTCTCTGCACAATGGAAATAACACTGTATTTCCAGCTACAGTCAAACACGTTCTGCTCAACTGTACAAGCGCTCCACCGAGATGTGCTGTACCATGTGCAGCAAGGACTCAGAGGTGCGAGTCCAGCTTATCTTCGTGCTTTGTTACTGGAGCTGGCGCTTGGACAGCTGTGCCCTGAATCTGCAATTCCGTGGGTCTTGCTTGGAAGGCTAACTGCTGGAGCTGCTCCAGGATGCTCCAGGAGGCATCCTCGTGTCTGCATGATTGTATCTTGTAGCTGTGTGTAATCCGAAACGTTACAATTCGATCTTGTGCAGGAATTCATCTTTTAGCTCAAAATTGTCAAAATCTTGTTCTTTGAAGAGAAACTATTTACTGTTTTACAAGATCTACCAGTTACTTTTTGACGATTACTCTCTATCGTCTCTCCATACCAGATGGAAAATAAGAGCGGTGTGCCTTTAGAAGGGCAGTTTGGCATAGCTTCAAGGGTCTGATCTGAATACAAGAGCAAAGGCCTGTAATACAAACTGCCTGCATACAGGTGTACTGTTTGCTTAAATGGTGGTTGCAATCTGACCTCCACAGCTGAAGCCCTGATCTTGGAAGGGAGTCTCATGAGGTCAGAAACCAAATTCAGTTCTATCTTTATCTTTTCAAATTGCAACAGCAGGCAGTAAGAGCTCCCTCTCCTCCCAGTTGCAGCAGGGCTCTCTGGCTGAAGGCTGCAACTTGCATTTTTCTGCTGATGAAGCTTTTATATTAGGAGCACATACATCCCAGTTGTGCGCATACTGGGCAAATGGTGTTTGCTAGGGAATTCTGAACAAGTGCTTTTACCACCTTTACATGCACTTCTGCCTCTGAGCAGGCTGGAGGGAGTTCCTGTGACATCAAGACTTTGTTAGGTGGGAATGGCCCTGTTTAGAGCCCTTGCCTTTTTTGCTGGTGCAGTGGCTAAGTTACCTTCCTCCAAGGTTAAAAGAAGCCAGATCCAGAGAGGCTTTATTTATAGCAACAACGTACAGTTGTCTCGACAGAGTGGAGGGGAAGAAATGCAACCACTTCATCTTTCTGCAGTCAGCCCAGGGCTTCTGGAGAGAGAGCTTCTCAAGCCCTGATGCTGCTTGTTTCTAAAGTCCTATCTTGTGGATGAACTTAAACTAGTGGCAGATCTGCCTTAGCTAATGTGTGTTTTATTGCTGCAGAAGACCCTAAAACATTCTCATCCTAGCTGTGCAGGAGTCATTCCTCTGTACGTTTTTTCAATTTTTTTTTTTATTTAGTCAGTGCAGAAGAACTGTCAGGTCTACTAGCTCCTTCACCAAACCTCTGTGGTCCTGGCATTTAATTGGGTTAAGTTTTCCATTGCGCAGCATGGTCAGTATGATAGGAAAGACTTGCCCTTGGTTGGCTGCCCAAGCGCATGGCTTACATCAAGGGCTCTGGAGTTAAAAATGAGCATGAGCTGCTGTAGGCACTTATTGCAGGAGGAAAGATGAACAGGCAGCGTAGCTGTCGCATCACGTAGGTCTGTTTAAAAATACAACTTTCACTCCATTTTGAGGTAGAGGTGATGTGTGTGTGGGGGGGTCATTTTCTAAGAAACAGTAGTGAGTGACAATCTAGCTAATATGCTTGGTAACATCCTGGCTATTGAGAGGTCAGTGCTGTAATGATGCAAACATGACATGGGAGAACGAGGGGGAGAGAGAGAAACGTCCTAATGATTTGGGGTTTCACTGCATCACATGGGGATGGCTGCTGCGTGCAAGGCTTTGGGGGGGTCATTTACTGGCTTCCCCTGCTGGTGGCTGTTGGGTTAAAGCGGCCTGGGACGAGCCTCCTTTGCAAGAGCCTTGCACACATTCGCACTCGGAGATGCAGTGTCACACCCCTCTCATCACAGAGGGGGGGGGCATTACTTTCAAAGGGGAATGTGTGCGATCTCAGGCTCTCTGGCTTGGAGCTCTAGTTCAAACTAACTCCCCTACGTGTAATTCTTTTTCCTCAGGCCTGATGAGTTACACCCCTCAGCACCCTGGATGGTAATTCCAGAAGTGCAAAGTGGCCACTTGGTCCTTCCTGAGCAGCCATGATTTGAAACATCGGAAGACGGAGCCGTTGGCCGAGGCTGGCAGGAAGTACTGTATTTCACCCAAAAAAATCAAGGACTGGGCGTGTGAAAGGAAAAACACAGCTAACAAATGCAGAAACTCTCCTTGAAGAGAGGAGAGAAGGTAATGCTTTGTATTCATATCTTAACAGGAAGAAAAAAAAAAAATCCCAGCCTTCAGCACATATAGCTGAAAGCTTCTACTAGCTGTAATTTCAACTCTAGGCCTTTCTATAGCAAAACTACAGCCTCAGCCATAGTGCTAATGGCAGCGTATGTCTTATCTGAGCAGAACTAGGCTCATTAAACATGTCCTGGCAACCACTTGGGCTGAGATTCCTAGAGATTAGAGATTCGGCAGTGGTCAGGAAAAGGCTTTTTGAGGGAGAAAATCCTTATAACCCTGCACACCTGCAACAGACTTTCTTCAGTGTGATTAATCCTGTGTGAAGCCACACTGTCTCTCGTAAACTAACAGATCATATAAAGGGTGCTGGGATGAAGTATGTATGTTCTGCAAATATCGCTGGTAGAAAGCACCTTGCAGGAAGGTTAAAAAAAAAACAAACAAAAAAACCACACTCCTGCTTTCCCTTTCCTCTCACATTAACTGCTGCAAGAGGGTAAATACAACAAGGATGCGTTTCATGGCAATATAATTTATTTGTCATCAGATATGCACGCATAGGCAGGACACAGGGCAGTACACATGGGGAATGCTGGTAAGTGCATGGAGATGGCAGCAGGGATCTGGACCTTAGTTCCTAGTAGTAGGTTTTATTTAAATTAAAAAAAAAAAACAAAAATTACTTCTGTCCTTTCTGAACTAACTGCAGTAATGTGGAGCCATTCCTTCTTCTCAGTGTTGCTAGTTGCCCTCACACCATGAGCTGCCTGGGGATCAGACTGGGCAGGATGCAAGTCTTCTCTCTCTTATTTGGGAAGGAGGAACCTTACTTAGCACAAGAACACGAGAAGGGATGAAAGATGGAATATGGCACTCCCCCAACCCTTAGTACTGAAGCTTGTGATACCTCAACAAGCAGGTATCCTTCTCCTTACTGGCTGTGGTAGTAGCAGATCCTAATTAACATCTGTGCTTGCTTTAAACCAGGTGAGAACTAAGGGTCTGTCTTATATAGCATCCACCTATTGTGCACAGATTCGCCTCTGCTTGCCAGGAGATGAGAGCACCTGGCATCTAAAGAACCACACCTACTCTGTGCTCTAGGCCCGCAGGTGGACCAGGTGTGCCATCACCTGCACAGTATTTACACTCAACAGCATACCTTGCTATGCTGCAGGGGGTTTTGTTTTGTTTTGTTTTGAATCTTTTCAGTGCTTCCCCTGCGTTAATTTGTGCTGGGGATTAGTACTGCACTGTCAAGTAGTACAGAGTCAAGTGGCCCTGTCCTTCAGTAGGGCATGGTTCAGACAGATAAAGCCATTTCCAAATAAATTTACATCAGTTACTTTTTTTGAAATGGCACTGGACTTAACTTCAGCTTAACATATCAGATGATTTGGCATGCTAACAAGCACAAGCTCTGTGAAGCTTTCCACTCCAAGCAATGTGTTCTGGATCAGATTGGAGGGAGTGGGAAGAAGACAGTAATCATGAGAGCACCCAGCTGGGGACTGTATTTCACAGGGGCCATGGGATGGGGAAAGCTAAGCAGCTGGCATGTAAGCAAACCAGGTGGGTTTTATTTGTAGAAGGCCAGTAAAGCTAAGTGTGCCTGGGGTGAGGTAAAATAAGGTGCTGCCTTCCACGTGGGCCTCCCCTGCTGTGAAGGGTGTACCCTTAAGTTACCCTCACCTGCAGCCTCAGCTCTCTCCCTTTGTTCCAAGCGTTCTTCTTTAGGTGGGAACGAGGCGCTGCCTTCAGACACGTGGGCCTACCCTGATGTGGCGAAGGCAGCTTCCCACTCTCCATGCAATGGTAAGTTGCAGCATTTCAAGAAACGTTTGCTGTAGCAGCACTTCCTCTGATGTCCCAGCCAAGCTGCAGGGGTTAGCCTCTCCCTACAGTTACTGCTCGAAGGAGTTGAGCTCTAAGAGTCCTTTGCTTTTCTCTCCTTTTTTGCTCTAGATGCCATTAAGGTGAAGAAGAGTCTGGGGAAGAGGTTTCGCAGGTAGACAGCCAAGGAGGGCGTTAGGCCAGCTACAAGTACTTCCTTCTTCTTCTGCCCCACTGCACTGAGAACCACCTGAGCAACCTCTGCAGCTGTCTGCCCTTCGGCGGTGTTCTTGTCCATAACTGCCAAAGCAAAGCCACGTAAGCACCAAGAGCAGCAGGTAAGTCCACAAATAAGTCCCTTTCCTAGGAAAGCTCTGCTCCGACTATGCATGATTGTTTATATGGTGCTGGATTTTACAGCAGTTGTGTATAGGAGTACAGGTCAGTATAATTCATGATTGAGGTAGAAATCAGTACACGCTCCTTCTGATACCCAGGCTGTGGTTCCACAAGCCTTGTGGTCTATTTCAGCAGCTAAGGCTCAGAGCTGAATGCTCCAATATGTTCTCCTAGTTAGGACCGTCATTTCCAGATGTATGCTTTGGTGGTTGATGTGAGTGAGAGGGAAACAGATACACCAGAGACACTTCCTCTGTCTTACTGCTCAGCTGACAGTACAGATCAGTAGTTGGAATTTGTTTTCTCCTCTTCCCTCTCAAACCTAGCATCTCTCGTAGGACACGTATATTGCAGGACGAGAGACTTTTGTAGACTGGAAGGTACAGAGCTGTACTTCAAAGAAAATACTTGGATTCATGTGTGCTATATAATACCCTCAAGCTCAATAACTCCAAATTAGTTGCTGTCTAGGAAGGCTCAGTTTGGGGGTTACTCTTCTTACCCTGCAACTAAAGCTGTCTTTCAAATCTTTAAGGCTAACCCATGTCCCCACCAAAGGTCACGTGTTGCAAGCACGCTTTGGAGTTCAGACATCTCAGTTAGGTGGAGACACTTTAGTTACAGGACACAAAATCACATCTCACCTCCATAGCGAGATCCATCTGCTCTTACAGCATTGAGAGAAAGGTTTGTCTGAATGTATCCAGGGCTTATAACAGTCACATCAATGTCATACTGCTCTACCTCTGCTCGTAGGCAATCAAAGAAGGCCTGGGTAGCATGCTTAGAGGCAGCATCTGAAAAACAAGGAAAGGGCTATGTGCTAAGGAGCAGAGTTGAGGGAAGATTCATTCCCCTGAATGCATTTGTCACTTAAATGAAGTCACTTCTCAGCAAGAACACCGCAGCTGTTTGCCAACTTCTAGTTGTTTTTAGTGAATGGCAGCAACAGGTAGTGGGAGTGAGAGGCAATTTAGGAAGGCAAAATGTAAATACTCAAGCTGGAAACTGGCTAGGATCCTGAGCTTAATATCTCAGCCATGCCGAAGCACTACAGGGTGAACCCAAGCTGCTTCCCACTCACGATAAAGGAGACATGAAGTCTGGCTTGGGAAGCATTCAAGAAGATCAGCTGGGGCTGGGGGAACGTGATGCCCAGTGCGGGAAAGCAGGGCTGACACTCGCTGCTGAGCACCCCGCTAGCCTGAGTGCACTGAGCATTACAGACTTGCAGAGCAGGTTCAGAGCCTGGCTGCGCACAAGTCAAAACCTGATCGCGCGAGCTGCAGGAGTGGAGTTGCGTGGCCTAGGGCAGGATTTCCCCCTTCTAAATGGCTGAGCAATTCCTTTTCCTTGCTCCCTTTCCACATATACTTGGTCACTGCCACCGTGACTGTGCCACCACCTCAGTGTGGCTGCAGGGCTGGCAACCAGTACGCAGAGCTGCGCAGCCGCTGCGAGGACCCAGGTAAGAGCCGAGCTCCATGCTGCCAGGCCCACCCTGCTTTGGTTGCTGTGCAGGTGCTCTGAAAGCTCTTCAGAACGTAGTTCTTTGTGCGGTCATACCCACAACATCTGCAAGCAAAGATGGCCCAGACTTTCCAGGTGCCTTCACTTGACATTCAGGCTCTCATTATGCCCTGCCACTTGTATGCCGTCCCCATTGTACCTTCCCATTTGTCTGTGTATTCTCAATGATCTACAGTTGCTGGTAGGCCAAACGCTCTCCTCTTAATTCCTCCATCTTTTATAAGGCTTTTCCAGTAATCACACCAATGTTATTTCTTGTCACATCTGATTTAGCATGAAGGGTTTGTTGACTCAAGATAACCCTTTAGGCTTTTGTTTTGGTCGTGGTTGTACCATTGAACTTACTAAACCACAGAACAAGCTTTTACTTTTCTAGAGGAGATTAACCAGGCAGACTGGCAAGGATAAAAATGCAATGAAATCAAGGAATTGATCAATCCTAATGGCTAGCAAGTTTATAGCACTCTCAAGTTTTAAGATGGGAATATCAAGCAGTTTTCAGACCAAAATTCTAAGCAAGGGCCACATTTTCTATTCTCCTTCCTTGTACCCTAATAACTTGAGGACAGGGCTAAGATTTTGTATGTGAGAGTACCTTCCTCAACGGCTGTCAGGGGTTTGTAAGCACACCAAGAACGATGCACAGCCCTGCCTTCCCCACGTGCTGCCAGCTCTGGGGAGCAACAGATGGAAGCAGTAGCCAAGGGTTCATTCAGTCCAATGCCCCAAATAAGTCTTCCCCTCGTTCTGTGGAGGTACTTACATGCTGATCTGAAAGGAATGCTTATCTTGCCTTGAATACTGCTGATGGCCACAATGTGGCCCTGCCTCCTCTTGATCATGGAGGGGAGGAGTGCTAGCAAGAAACAGAAAAGACCCGTTCAGGATAACAGTCCTGCCATTGCTAAATCAATGCTTTCAGAGCAGTGCTTCAGGGAAGCCTGAGGCCAGTGAGAAGGTCCTCATTCAGTGTAGGGGTTAGGCAGAGGGACAGTGCCCAGGATGCCTCTAACTGAGGCTGCAGTCTAGCTGGGACATTCACATATCAGGAGACAACTGCCAAAGTGCCCAGAAATTTGTCTTCTGCCAATGAGGCTACACAAAGGCCGTTATAGTCACTATGGTCTCCCACAGGTATGGTCAGCAGGACTTGCACTTTTCTGCCACCAGTACATCTTTCCAGTTCATGTAGCTGACACCCTCCAGGCTGAAGTTTCTACACAACCAAAGCAGCTTCCTAGGAAAGCTAGAGTTTCACCTACAATCCAGACCGCACTCTCTAGGGTTTTATCAGAGCAGACAGACAAACCAGGTATCTCTCCATAAGCTCCCCTAAGACAAGAGGCAGGAGGTGTTTCAAACAAGATATCATCTCTTATCTAGTACTATCAGGTACTTTCAGTGCAGTCATGTCCAAGCATCCTCTAAGCCTGCCCATAAAACAAAGAAGCTCTCCTCCCTTCTTATACTGTATTATACCAAAAACAATTAAGAGTCAGAAGTTAAGTTGTGCTTAGTTGTATTGGCCTGCAGAAGATAACAGCCAAATCCATTGGCCCCCCAGTAATTCTGATCACAGATACCTTTGGTGAGGGCTACTGGACCAAAGTAATTTGTTTCCATCACTTTCTTGTCCACATCCAGTCCTGTGTCCACAATTGTGCCTCGGTAACTGATTCCTGCGTTGTTGATCAGTATGTCCACGTGACCCAAATGCTTCAGGATCTCTTCAGCAGCATTTAGGACCGTTTTAGTGTCTGACAGGTCGAAGACCACAGTGTAAGGTTTATGTGTCTGTGAATAAACACAAGTTAGCAAAAGACCAGTCCTGGATGTGCTGTATGTTATTCATAATAGTTACTTAGAGGAGAGATGGGATTTCTCAGCTTTGGGAGTGCAGGCAGGGCCATCCAGACCTTGTTTGATTAGAGTGCAGCAGTTAGCAGTCACTCGGTAAAAACATGTGATAGGAGCAGGCTGTGCTCTGGTCTTTCTCCCTCCTGTAGCCTGATGCTTATACCAGAAGCTTGGAAAGAGGCAAGTTAGATCCTCCTCAGGTACTAAAGTTTGCTATTGCTTCATTAAAGAAAACGCCATCTGATGTAGTCAACAACTTGACTCACGTGTCTCCTTCAGAAGCCAGCAATACCTTTCTTATACGCTCTCATCAGAACTAGCCATCAAAAATAAAGGCTAAGACAAGCAAGGTCACTCTTTCAGATACCATATAGGAGTGCAGATGCAAGAGATGTCTGAGGAGTCTGCACTCACGTGCATGCGTTTCTGTTACAAGACAAGGGTAGTCTTTCAGCTGGCTTATCTTTGTATGGTTTCTGCAAGACACGACATGTTAGTTCAGTGTACTCTAGCATTATCTATTCCTAACCACAGAGTTACGTCTTTCCTATTGCTCAACAGAACAACCCACAAGCAATGCTGTATCTTCTGTAATAACGTGAACAGAAATCCCAGACACATGAGACAACAAGCCTTTCCCTCTCCCACACTCACGTTCTTTCGGTGATTGGTCATGGTAGAAAGCTCCTGTACCAGGTCTTTGAGTTTTTCGCCGTCTCTGCCACAGAGCACCAGCTTGGAGCCAGCCGCATGGAAAGCTTTTGCACATTCTTTGGAGGGAACAAGGAAGAGAGAAAAGCAGACGTTTGAATGACAGACACAAACAGCAGATCCACATCATATCTGGTGGTAGGCTAAAAACATTTTTGTTTGCTTTTTAATCTGGCAAGGGTCTAAGGTGGTCTTATTATTCCTGAGTGATAGGCTGAGTTACAGTGAAGCCATAGCAAGATGCAATTTTCCAGTGACTTTGACAGATGCATGACAATGGTGAGGCAGTTGGTGTTTTCATGGTTACTATGCTGGTTACGCAGTTACTGTGCTGCTCGCACGTACTCCCCCATCAGCTGGTTAAATCTGCCTATGCCTCTTAATCTTTGACCATATGCTTTTCTTAAGTAGAACCACTGTTATCTTGCATATGTCATTTAATGTAGCAGAGGCCTGATCTTAAGGGTTTCAGTAAACACTGCCAAAGGTTTTGGAAGCCTTGGAGCTAATGACTTTATCAAGGTGGTCTATATCAAGAGAAGTCAGAAGAAAGGAGGCTATGATACTGTCCTCCTTTCAGTGCTACCAGCTGCTGAAGCAATCCCACGTTCTTCTAAACTACTTCTCTGTCATCTACTGAAACAAATTCCTTATTCGTGCAAGAGACTATAGCATGGTGGTAACAAAGGGTGCAGAAGAACACACGGTAATTAGAGGTGCTCTAGAATATTAATAACTGGGAGTTGGGGGAATAGCATAGATCTTGCCAATGAGTCAGTAAGGGAGAAAACTTCTCTGCACAGCGGTGGAGATCTATATGGAGGCATTAGCAGTCTGGGTGTCAACCCTGGCTTAGCTTTTCACAAGATGAGAAGAAAAACAGTGGGAAGGAACACCCAACAAGGTGTTTCACCTGCCTACTGTATCACAGCAGGAAGGTCTCTCCTGAGATAATAGTTCCACCTTTTCCAGACATCAAATACTAATTCTTTTACCACTCCCAGCTCTTTGGTTCTGGCAGGCAGAGAGGACCATTTCATCTCCTTTGACCATTCAGCTAGTGAACACCCCTGTCCTCAAGGACAAACTCACATGCAAAGATAGCATCAATGTAAGCTCCCATTTGTTCTATAACTGTACTCATCCTAATGAAAGGCCTTGATAGCAGAGAGCACCTTGTCTTCTCTTCAAGAAGCTTTTAAAGCAATTACAGAAAGCAGAATTAGAAAACACATCCACCCACGCAAAGAATAAAAATTTATTTGGAAAGAAACCACTGGATTATCCACTGGCTCTTGCCACTAACATTATCAAGAGTCTGAAATTAAGACGGAGGGACTGTACCAGAAGAGAACTTGGGGGTGAGAGGTGGGAATAAGAAGTAGAAAAGAGGGCAGGGTATCTGGAAATACAACAGCAAACATGAATTCAGAACAGCAGTTCTGTCTGGTAAGTCTTAGAGAAACAATCTGACTTCCTGACTTTTCCAGGACTCAGAGAAAAGATGCCCGACAGTACAGGAATTTACTTGCTTTGATGAGCTCCAATTTATACAGGATGGTTAAAATTAGATTCAACATTTGTTGGGGAGTTTGGGGTTTCTTTTGGTTTTTTTTTTTTTTGGCTTTTACATCAAAACTTGCACTGGAGGGTGGTTATAAATGATATGGCTGTGCAAGGTAGCTCTCTTCAAAATTCAGAAGAATGAGACTTTCTGCTCATTATTGCTTTATTCCAATAGGCCTCTCTTCCACGTCCCTTTGTTTCTTCTGCCTATAGCACCTTTCTGCTACCCTTTAACACCTACCTTTTCCTAGGCCAGAAGTAGCCCCAGTGACCACCACCACTGCTTCCTGGAAGTAAGCTCGCATCCGCATCCACTGCAGCAGACGGAAGAGGGCGAAGATCCCCAAGCTGCCAAAAAGCAGTGGGATGATGACTGTGGTTGTGAGATCCATGAGCTTCCCTTTCTGAACAGTCTTCCTAGAACCACAAGATCAAAGCAAATAGAGCATTTCACCATCAAGCAACTTAGCAGAGGCTTGAAAACTAGGGAAATACTTCTTTTTAAGAAGTCTCACTAGAGTTAAAATTAGCACAACCTTCTTTCCCACCCACTGCCTTAGACCCTCAGACCACCAACAAACCAAATTCCGTACAGAGGCATCTTCAACACGTTTCCTCGATCCTTCCTTTAGACTTTCAAAAATTCACATCAGGACCCAATTTTAAGCATTTAAATGCTATTCTGAACATCCCAGCAGGACACTTGGCACTGGATCTTGTCAGGTGTTGTGTGACAAACTTAGCTTCAGAGATGCCGTTCCCAGATGCTCTTCCATTTTGCTTTAGACTTGTTCTCTTGCACAAGATGTATTTAGAGTGAAAGCTCTTCAGAGATAGGAAATGTCTCTACATGTCTATGATTCTATCAAAACTTCTTAGATTTCTCTAAAATTGCAGTTACCACAGTATCTAAGTGCCAGAGACCAGTTACTGTATATTATCCCAGATGCATACAACCCACTCTAACTTCTAGGGGCCCGGAACAAGCTTTCCTTCTGAGCAGGTTATTTGCTTAATACAGTGAAATCTGTGCTTCCAACTCCAGTGTCTTTCAACACCTGTTAGCAGAGACAAGTTATCTGATTTAAATTAACCACATGTCCCATCTAGTGGGCTAGAGCCTACGTTCGTGCTCTTTATTTTTATGCCAGCATCAATTGTACAGTTTGTTAACAGCAGGAGAACCTGCGTTCTAATATACTGAAATTATATCTGTGAAAGAAACCCAAGCTATAGGTATCTACAAGACCTAACTCACCCTGGAATTGGATTCTGATTCCAATGCATAGCCCTAATCTCCTGGCTAAGCCTTGCCTTCAAGGGAGAAGTTTATGTTACAACCTGTTACATTGCCAAAGGGTAAGCAATCCTTCTGCTGTAAACAGGGTCACTAAGTTTCCCACTCTCTACCCTCAGGCTTTTATGTTCAATGTCACAGTGAAGTAAAGCCAGTTATAACCTCTTCCTGGAATCTATACATCTTTTGAGTCACACACAAAGCCAAAGCCGAGTACTAGCCTCTTTTCCCAGTTTTACAGATGGAGTTTGAACACCGATAGATAAATCTCAAACAGGAAGATGTTGGCAGGGTTTGGGCACGCAACTCATAACACAAACCTTTTATGTCCCTTAAAGGAAAGGACAGCACGATAAGGACAAAACAAGGAGGTAACTAATAATGCTAGGCCATAATTCAACATTACTAAGTAATACGCAGCTTGTATGGAGCAGAAGGAATGATAGTAGCGCTACATGCCTCCGAACAGAGCTGGTCCGGAAAAATGCCAGGCTCTCCCAGATTTCCATGAAGGACAGAAGTCCTCAAGCAGCTGGTCAGTGAATAGGCAAGCTAGCTGAACCACTAGTGAATGGTAGAGAGAAAGTATTTCTGAAGGTATTGTGCTAGAGCACAATAAAACACCATGTAAAGATAGCTGAGCTAGCTCTAAATAAAGCTTGACTAGGTCTAAAAAAAACTGTTGAGCTAGGACATAGCTCTGCCCAAGCGTCTATGGAGCTTCCTATTCCTGAGCTAACTCAAGTATCTCTACAAAAGTACTCTCTTGTGTAATAACTGTGCACAATGCAGATAGGCATCCAGGCCTCGAGTTCCCCCCCAAGCATGGGGAGTATGCCCAAAGTGGGAAAACAGAAACCCAGAAGGAGGATTAAACTCAAGTCTGTGGCAAAGCAGCGCAGGACCATAATACACAGCTGGTCAGATCGGCATCTTGTTCTTCCACCTCTTTGTGCAGAAGGTCTCCTGATTTATAGCAGAGGACTGGTATAATTGATGTAACATATAAGAGGAGTGCATCATCACCCCTAAAATAATTCCAGGGAAAGACACAAAGCCACTGGCTTTCTTCACGCTGAATAAGCGAGAGGTGCTCCTTACTGGTTCATGCTCAGCTAATCATATAAAGCAGCTGCCTTCTTTATGTTGTCCTTCTTTGCTCTCAGAGGTCTCTTGAGATTCAGAAGACAGGGGGTGGGTGGCAGGGACCGCAGGCACTGACATTGACCAGTGTGCCTTAGAGAACGTTTTTCTTCAGCTCCCCTTTAGGACCTTCCATCGTTTCCGAAGTGAGAGCTGATGGGTGGAGTATCACTTGATTTATGAGCCCATCTTGAAGCTGTGCTTTTTTAAAAATCTGTCCCTGAAAACCTTTGCCTCTGATTCCTATAAAATGGAGATGACAGTGTAAAGCAGCTGAAGAAGTAACCGTGAAGAGGGAACTTTTCTGACACCTCTAACTAAACCACGCTAGGAGATGGGAGTGATTCCCATACTTTGGTTAGAGAACGGTTCTTTCAAGTTCCTTGGCAAAATAAAAGTTGAGTTTGCAAGCACTGAACTCTCTCCTGCACAGGCCCGTTGAAAAGAGCCCCTAAGCCTACCAACTAAAAGCTAAATGTGTTTTTTGTCATGTAGCATTCATTGCTCAGCAACATGAACCATTTACGCCTGCTTAGCTTTGTCAGCACACTAATTCATTGTATTCCTTTATCATGTTACTTATTATTCATCTACTTTCTAAACAAAGAAGCTCTGCCTTTAATCCATTTTCATTTGGCAATCTTTACAAGCCTTTTATAGTTCTTCTTTCTGTTTTTGTTCTTCCATATGATATGCAGGAACAGGGCAAATTACCCAATCGCTGCCCGAAGGTTGCTGCCAGCCACCAGCACAGTCAGCAACAGAAACCTGCTTTTGCAGCTTCCAGGCTAGAGTTTGAATCAACAGGTATCACCCTTTGATATAAGAGGGTGAGAGAGAGAGGGAGAGGGAGGGGAAGAGAAAGACTAGATGAAGAAGGGGAGCAAGTGAGAGAAGGGATAACAGATCAAAGATACAGATCCTTTTTTATTTAGGTCATGCAGTTACAGATATCTTCCAAGGAAGGTACAGAAATGACCCCTTAAAAAGGGCCCCAGAACAAAGAAAATCCCAGTTCAGTCAAGTTTGGAATACTAGGACAAAGAGCAAAGACAAACTGTCTGAACTAAACTGTTTTGGAAAGATGAAAGAATTTCTGCAGCACTTCAGACCTAATGCAACAAGTTTTTATCAGCTTACATCACAAACCCATGAGTTCTTATTTTAGTTTGTAAAGTTGAACAAGCTTAGTAAAAAGCCATTGATAAAAGGAAGGGAATGCCAGCAGAACGTGGAAATCAGCTCAAGGCATACTGCAGTATGTTCAACAATATCCATTTCACAGAGCCCCATACTGGGCTACTGATGCAACAAGGTGACAATTACACTCAGTTCAGTTTTTAGGTTTATTGGAGGAAAGGCCAAAGGAAAGAACTGCAGCAAGCTGAAGGAGAATGAAACAGACCACTGATAAAAAAAAGGACTTGACTCACAGTAACAAAAATGGTAAGTTGCAAAACAAAAGCTGGCAGAAGAAGATCAGAAGCATACAAACCCTGCTTAAGACTAATAACGTTTTGAAGTAACTAAAGGCATCTCAGGACAGATAGGGCCCTGGCACATTAAAAACAACAGGGGTCAAAAAAGATCCACAGCTTATTCAAGAGGAACTGGATATCCTCAGACATCCTGCTCAAAGCTTTAACACCTTACTACCACCTTTGTCCCGAGACTTGACTATACGTACTGGAAAACAAGCAAGAATCTGTTATTTGTCCTTGACAGATAATGTTTATGATGCCAAATTACCTGCAGGAGGGAAGACACTGCTCATTATTGCTGCAAATAAACACCTGTAATTTTCAATTCCCCATCCCAAAAAGGCAGGATTAGGGTGTTAGAGAGCAGAAATGATAATACTGATAATGTAAGCAAATTCAGGTGACTGGAATCTTTTTGAAAAGGCTTAATAGAAAATAAATCACATCTACACACGTGCCCATTAAAAAAAAAAAAATCATTCCCCTTAAAACAAAAACTAGATGTTATCCTGTAAAAAAACAGGAGAATATTTCAGAAGGAACAAGGAGTTTAGTTAATAAGCTCAAGAGCACACTAAAGGCAGCAAAGATGAGCTCAAGTCCTAAAAAGAAATTAGTTTCCCTAAACAACACCTATTCTCCTTTAGCTTCAGCTACCTAGAAACACATTGTCCTTTAAATGACAAATGGCAGCAACTGGGAGGCTATTTTCAGAAAGCAAAAGGTGTCATTTAGAAGATGGGGGAAAAAGGGAAGGAAAAAAATCATTTTTTCTAAGGAGCATTTGTCCAGAAGCACAGCAGCTCTTAAGTTTTATTAGCTACCAACTTTACTCTGAAGAAAGCACAATGTCCTACCTTTGAAAAGAACTCACTTGCCAGTGACTCTCTGAGATGGTGTCTCCCTCTGGTCTTTTAGCACAGGACAGACCTCACTTAAATTAGGAAATGGCAGCAGTCCAAGCAAATATACTCAGTCCAATGCTGGCACAGAGCGCCAAGAACTGCCTCTAAAAACAAACCTCAGGAACAGAGTCTGTGACCTTTGAGCACAACTGAACTGACAGATGAGTCTCTCTCACTCTGCATCAAAACCTGGTACTAACTGGGGAAATTGGTGTATGCTCCAGCAAAACCAAATTCACTAAACCATCTTTGATAGAAGAGGGAGCATTACTTGCATTTTATATCAGCTAAACAATTTTACCAACCCAGCTGCTTTGGGAAAAAACCTGAAATCAAACTTACAGACATCTGAGGCTGGAAAAAAAAAAGGTAATAGAGTATTGTCTATTAAATCAGTGATTTATACCAGCAAATCAAACAGGAAATTTGCTGACAATTTATCTGATGCGCAAACTCCCCACAAATGGTGAGTTGCTGAACACATTCAGCATCTAATGAGAAAACAACACAAGCTCTACAGTGATGACACTCATTCAAACAATTAAACTACTGAAATGCTAGTTTGCACTTACACGACCAGCATTCATTCCAAACTTCATGAACAAAAAATGATGTCAAAAATACGCTGAGGTCATTAGAAACCACTGAAACGCCTAAGAAAGACCTCAATAGCTGGACAGACCTCCTCATTACAATAGCACCATTTCAAATGGAAAATAGGGAAGGGATTTAGGAAAAAGAACCCAGCTGGGATTCTGCCACCAAGTGATGGCAAGGGCTGTAACGAGGAGTGCCACAGCAGCCCTAGGGACCAGCAGCGGTCCGGACACAAGGCTCGGAAGTCTGCAGCTGACAACAACGAAGAGTTTGAGATTTGATGATTTTTTTATTATTATTACTTATTTAAATATCAGTTACAGTATTTTGAGTTTATTTTTTCCAGTGCAATTTGAACAAGCTGGCCATCTCATGCGTACTTTATAAAACTCTCCCTTAGAAAACAAACCTCTGTATTTGAATAGTCACTTAAGAGCATCGTGCTTAAGATTGTATATAATCATTACGCAAAACAACAGCCTCGCTCCATGTTACAGGGAGAGGGGGAAAACATGTTTTCAGCACCCAGAAGCCAGACTGGAGCTGAGAAATTACTTTCGCACAAAACTTTCCTGCCGCTTTTACGCAGTGACGTGTATTTCCAGTCCTCCTCCTCCAAATGAGTTTGGGGCACAAAGCCGGGACAAACCAGAGCGACGCGATTCCAAAAAACCGCAACGCTCGCCGCGCCAAAGCACCGCGCTTTGCAGGCGGCCGTCTGCCAGGCCGGCACCGCCGGAAGCAGCCCGGGGAAACGAGCGTCGCTTTAACACGTCTCTCTCCTCTCCGAGTTATTCGGCGCTTGCGGTGAAACACTGACCGGGGAGCCCTCCGCCC